CCATCGCTTTTGAGAAATTGACTACAATAACAACATAACAGTAATTGAACTTCCCTTGCTACTGGTTACCATTATATTAAAATGACTTCATTTCCCTCACCCCACCCTCTGACACTCTTGCACTGCTCTGGGGTCACGGAGTTTGTGAGAATACCAACTGCATTTTGGAGGTTGCTCAATCTGAGTTCACTGAAGTGCAGCTAATAGCAGAAAAAAAGGTGCATTAAGGTTATCCTCCATTTGACATACGAGCCATGGATGTCAGAATGTGGAACACTGAATAAGTGCCAAGCTCAAGAATCCCCTTGATGGCCTTGCTGCTTTTAGTTTCAGTTTTAATTAAGCACTATAAGCAATTATGTGAACACTATGATATAACCGGTATCAAAAGGACAATTTAGAGAAGTCAGTGTTGCCATGAAAGTTGCTCAAACAAAGTAGGAAATGTGAACCAAATACAGCTCTTACTCTGATTAAAGCTTTCAGCCTGTGGGCATATTTCTCAAGACAATTAATTATCAAACTTGTCATTTTGATGAATCTTAGATGACTACTCCATTCCTGATTGATACTTTGTCCCATTCACATTTTGTACTATGGCCCTGTTTGATTATTAAATTCTGGAATTCTCTGCCTGTCACTTTCCTTATTTCCTATTCTCTTTCGTTTTTGTGTTTGTTTCTGTCTCTTATCTCCCTGTGTAGGTTTCCATTCCTCTGCCATTTTAGTTTAAACCCCCTCATTAGCACATGAGGGGGTTTAGACATGGGACATCAATGGACACTCCCCCTAGGACATCAGTTCTGGTTCTGCCCCGATCAGCTACCCAACCAGATTGTACTGGTCCCACCCTCCCCAGAACTGGTCTCATTGCCCCAGGAACTGAAAGCTTCTGCCTCACATCATCTCTCTATCCATGTGTTCATCTGATATATCGTGTTACCTCTACCTTGGCTAGCATATGATACTGATAGTAATCCTAAGATCACTACCTTTGAGGTCTTCTTTGCTTCCCAACTCCTTATATTCACTCATCCCTTTTCTGTAATCCACATTGTTTGTACCCATGTGTACTACAGCCAATGACTGTTCATCCTCCTACTTCAGAATGCCCTGTAGCTGCTCTGAGACATCCTTGACCCTAGCGGTGAGAGGCAGTTCTGGAGTTCCATTTGCAGCCACAGGAAGACATATCTACTTCCTTTACAATTGAATACCCTATTACTAGAGGCAGCACAGTGGCTCGGTGGTTAGCACTGATGCCTCACAGCACCATGGATCCAGCACTGTCTGTGCGGAGTTTGCACGTTCTCCCCATGTCTGCATGGATTTCCTCTGGGTGCTCCGGTTTCCTCCCACAGTTCAAAGGTGTGCAGACTGGCCATACTGAATTGCCCATGATGTGCAGGCTAGGTGGATTAGCCATGCAAAAATGCAGGATTACAGGCATGGGGTAGGGGGGTGTGTCTGGGTGGAATGCTGTTTGGAGTGTTGGTGTGGACTGGGGGCAAATGGCCTGCTCCCACGCTCTAGGAATTCAATGATCATTCTGCACCATACAACAGGTTGTTTCAGTCAGGTCAATAAGTGATAAATGGTTTGGAACTGTTAGAGTGAGCACTGCAGGAGGACATCAGGACAACATAGTGTCAGATATACACTAGTGCATCATGTATCATCATGATCTTCACAGACTTGTGCAAAGTGGCTCAAGATGGCAATCCAAAAGTAAAGCACTTGAAAATAAGCTTGAGGCGGTATAATGGCAAAAGGACAGATTATTTTGACAACGTAATGCAATGATATGAATTAAGGTCTGGAGATCCAGATCATTGATGGCAAACTGGAGGAAGTCTAAATTTCAGACCATAAACATGCGAAAAGAGATTTGCAAATGTTGCAGCATGTTAAACTAGTGACTGTGGAACTGATCCTAGAGGAGCACAACAATTTTACAGGGTAAGGATGCCTTCCTGGAGAATGTAAGACCAATACAGCATCGACCAAGGAAAATTTCATGCTGGACTTCAGGGCAGATGCAACAGAAGAAGGAAGAGTTGCAAAAGAAGGCAGTAATCTAGAAAGTGACAATTCCTACAGAATGGATAAGCAGTATGATAGCAGTGAAACAAACCTGAAAGCTGAGTGTGCATTGACCCAAAGGTTCTAAATTAACGTCTGATGAGATTTCACTGTTCCCTGCCAACTTTTGAGGGAATTTTAAGACAATTTGCAAATACAAAATAAAAGTTCACCACCCTAGATTGAAGGACAGTAATTGGCAAGTGAAACAGGATGAAAATAGTAGCTTTCTAATGATATTCTAGCCACCATACAGGTTATTGTACATGCCATTTGGATTTTCCATCACCTCAGAGGAATATAAACACAGACAGTTAGTGATCTTCCTCGATGGAACTATAGTAAATGATTTGCTGGTTTGTGAATCATAGAATCCTTACAGCATGGAAGCAGGCCATTCAGTCTATTAAGTCCAAAATGACCCACTAAAGAGCATCCCTTCCAGACCCACCCTGTAACCCTGCATTTCCTATGGCTAATCCACCTAACCTGCGCATCTTTGGAGTGTGGGAGGAAAACAGAGCACTCGGAGGAAACTCCACACAGTCACCCGAGGCTAGAATTGTACCCAGGTCCCTGGTACTGTGAAGCAGCAGTGCTAACCACTGAGCCTCCATGCTGCCCCACGTGGAGACACAATGAAAGAAGCAATAGACGACCACAATCAAATCTAGCTTGACTGCTAGACAGCATGCCAGATGAACATGAAGCTGAACAAAAGATCACAATTAAAGGTGCCCAAAATTAAGTTCATAGGTCATGTACTGACTTCAAAATGTCTTCGCTCAAAAAGGAGAGAGCGGCAGCCATGTGGTGGCTGACAGATGTAAAATAAAACAGGTTTTTTTTGGATTGATCAACCATTTAGCAAAATTGTTGCCCAATTTGTTATCAGAGCGTGAACCACTCACGGCCAATGATATGCAGGGACACAGAACAAGCAATGTTCACCAAAATCAAACTAGTGATGGCAACACCAGTGCTGAAATATCATGATGTGAATGATGATGTCATCCTGCAGCATGACTATAGCGAGGCAGGACTTGGAGCAACTCTCATAACAGCAAGGACAATCAATGACATTTGCATCCTGGGTTTTGGCACAAACTGAAAAACACTATGGCCAGATTGAGAAAGTGTGCGTGCCCAATGCCTTTGCTTGTCAACATTTTCATCTTCCTACTTGGAAGAAACAGAGTGGCAGTCAAGGCTGGCCACAAGCCACTTCCAAAAACATTTTCTTCAAGTACCAGTATCTGCAGCAAAGCTTCTGTAAAGATAAACGAAAAAGGGGTCGTTTGGGATTGAAGTGTAATAGCATGCTAACGTGTTTCCCGGCTTGCCATAGTTATCTCTACCATAAGGCAGGTCAGTTGGTTGGACAGCTGGTTTGTGAAGCAGTGATACCAACAGCATGGGTTCAACTCCCGCACCAGCCGAGGTTACTGTTAAGGACTCTTCTCCTCAACCTCTCCTCTTGGCCGAGGTGTGGTGACCTTAGTGTTAAACCACCACCACTGCTTCTCTTTAATAAGAGAACAGCCCTATGCCCTGGAAGGATTATGGTGACTTTATGCATCTCAGTTGGTTGGATAACTTGTCTGCAGATACCAACAGCGCAGGTTCATTTCTTACACTGGCTCAAGTTACCATGTAGGTTCCATCCTCTCCCTTCACTTGAGGCATGGTGACACTCAGGGTAAACACCACCATCACCTGTCTCTCTCTCTCTCATGAGACAGCAGCCTATGGCCTCTAGGACAATGGTGAATTTCACTCACACCAGAGGCGTTCATTTTATGGCCAGTTTAGTGAAGACACAGTTGAAGCTGAACTGTGTACCATGAGCTTATAACGGAGGCTTGGGGGCAGCTAATTGTGGTATATGAAACTATGAGCAACTTAAATAGAGTAGGTAATGACTTAGTTCGAAAGGTCAATAACCAGTGATGCATTGATTTAAAATAACTAGTGAAACTATTAGTGCTGAAGATAACATTTTATACTTCAGCGAGAGAACTTACTGCCCAAAAAGGTGGTAGGGATGAAAAACACTTGTTGCACTGTTTAAAAACAGTTGGATTCACCTAAAATGCTGTAACCTACAAGGCTTTTTAACAGAGCTACAAATAGATCTGGCAATTGGGATTAGGTCAGCGTTCTCTTTTTGACAAATGGCCTTCCTGCGTGTCCAAATTTTCCCTGATGCTGTGTCAATCAGGACTGCAGTACAGAGACTACAGTTCTGTAAGTATAGCAGTGAATTTAGAGAACATGCGTATTATACACAGCAGCAATGCCTCAACTATGCTATCTTCCAATAATCTCTGGCCTCAGAGATCCTTGAGGGCACCTGCCACCCATACGGGGAAAGCCACTAACTTCAGTAGCAGCACAACACAGGACATTTTTGCATAAGATGGGACAAATATCTGTACAGGTCTGCACAGGAAAGCTGTAAGTTGTCCTAATTACACAACGTTCTCTAAATTCTATGACCTTTTCATAATTTTATTATGCACTTAAAGTGCAAGAAAATCTAAAGGCCTCACACGCCTTTGTGAATTTATCCATGAGCAGTGAAACCAATAAGGTTTGATACTTGCTCACCATTCAGTGAGACATGTTGGAACATGGGATATTGGGATAGGTGACACCACCTAGCCAAATAACTAATCTCCATATAATGCTGCAAATGACGTCGTGGGAGAGCATAGTTGGGGGCTCGGTAAGAAAACAGCATGAGCGAGCAACGGGGTGTAGGGACAGGGGTGGTACCCATTGAACTATAAAAGCTAATGAGAATTTTCAAGGGAAGGAAGTGGGAAAATATTTGAACAACTGGAGGAACATTCACTGATCAGAATCAAACCAACCATCCTCTGAAGAGAAGCACACAACAACACTGCTCCAAAACGTCCAATTGAACCCTTTATTTGACCACTGTAGAACTTAAGCCCAGCATAACAACTTTTTGATCACTCATCATCAATCATTCAACCAATTTTGACATTTGAGACAGATTGCTGCAGACAGAACGCAACATGTAAACAAACTCTCCGATCTCTTCCTTTATTTCCAAACTAGTGTATATAAAAAAAATACAGCTCTTCTTCACAGGACAAGGCCTCAGTGCTGCTATCAGTCACAGCCACTTCATTTTTTGTTTTACGTTCTTGAGAGCCCTCGGTTATCCAAATCTTTCACCTGTGGAGATAACAAGGAGTTAAAATGGAGTTCATGTTTCAGGTTTATGAGCTTTCTCTAGAATAAACAGCATATTCTGTTTTTATTTCAGATTTCCAGCATCAGGATTTTGTTTTTGCAACAGACTTGGAAGTGATATAATAGATGCCTACACAATGAAATGGCCAAGTGGTGTCTATATTGATACATTATTCCAGATTAACAGAGTGAAAGCCTAATTGCATATAGACTGAATGTTGAGCTGCCCTTCATCCAGGAATGATAAATTCTGCAGGACAGGACCATCAGAGGACCTGTTGGCCAAGTCTCTGTCTTCAAAAACGAGCTGGAATAGTTCCTGACAAGGATAGGGACTGCTTCACATAAAAATAGATAATACTTAGTCAATGGTGTTACTGGAGAGAGTCAGAGAAATTTTCTAGAGTATTGTCCCTGAAAGGTTTAAAGATTAAACTTTTTTTTTGGTTGGGGGGGGTGGGGGAAGAAGAGAAGAGGAGCCGTGGCAGTTAATGAAAAGCTTACTTCATGAAGCTCTGGCCATGAACCAACTAGTAATTCTGTGCTTGTGCACACTAACCCAGCATCAGTACATCCAGATACCTTTACAAATGTCAACTGCATTAGGATCATTACACTCAGCTTCAACAAACCATCTGGATGGGAGTACGGAAATTAAGAAGTCTTGCTTCAGTTGTATAAAGCTTTGGTAACATCACACTTAGGAGCACTGCATAGGGCTCAGTCTACTTAAGATGGATGTATTTGTCACAGAGATAAGTTAACAAAGGTTCATTTGACTGATCTCTCAGATTGCAGGATTGTGCCACAAGAGGAGATTGAAGAGACTGGATCCGTGTTTAGTAGAAAAAGAGGTGATCTCTTGAAACATGAAGTTCTTAGTGGGATTGATAGGGTAGATGCAGTGATCAGTTAATTTATCACAGATCGCAGAGTGAAGTTGGAATTCCCACGCTGTGGTAATTCAGTACTATTTGACAGACTGACTTTATCCACTTGACCACTGCTCAGCTCTGTGGTCATCTTGCAATAGCGAGCCGCAATGTCCAGAGGGTAGGGCACCGTGCTTTCAGTACTCACCTTATATATACGGACCAACCAGTGCTCAGTGGTGTATGCCTCTTCTAGAACATCGAGCTCGAAGTCTTTGTTCCCAATCTCAGCATTCCTTACTCTGTCATAACCGGGTGGGCGCTCTGTGGCAAAAACAATGGCACTGTTAATATTGCGTTGTTAATTGATTCCTTGATTAAGACCATCTCCAGTGACAGTCTCAGTTTAGCATTCAGGAGGGAAAAAGAAATCAACGTATATGTGAACTTGCTAAGTCAGAATGGCACAGCATTGAGGTTGGGAGGATAGGGATCGGTGGTGAGGCAAAAAAGAAAAGTCTTCAGTGAGTGGAATTTAAGTACATTGTGTAAAGTACAGGGAAATAACGTTCAAAGTTATACAATATATTTTACCTGGACGTCCCTGATAAGGTTGAGTTAAATTAATGAAGTCTTCATAGTACCTGACATTGTAGTGTGTAGCCTTAATTAACCAGTATACTCTGAATTTGACCTTTGTCCTGATGGGAAATCCTTGACACCACTTCAAAAGGTGAGTAAGTATTTGATTCTTAAAACTAATGGGGAAGTTTTCAACTCTATGTATCACTCTAAAGTTATGGCAATCTCAAAGGCAGAATGTGATTGCTTGGGAACAATAATAACCATCTCCAGATTTGTCTGAGACACCAATCTGTTTCAAATCTAACTATGCATTCTTCCAAGAAGAAAGGGCATGCTCTACACTTCACAGCAGGAGCAAGCGGCAGGGGATTAACACTGGAATACAAGTGTATTTTTGTATGCACCCTGGGCTCAGGGTGAACTTCAAAAATCAATACACTTTGTTTGGGTGCTTCACTCCCCAATACCCTGTAATTCCAGACCCCAACTTTCCCTGTTACTAGCAACAGATTTTAGAATTATAGCCATGTGCCTTACAGTCTCAATGAACTAAGTGCTTATCTGAGAGAGACTGGGGTAGTTTAAAATTCCTGTGCAGGTGTGAATCTCTCCTTTTACGTCTTGGGATTTGTTATTGTGAAACTGTAATCATGTTTAGGATACACTTTCCGATATCCACAGATGTACTCAAAATGGTCATAAGTAAGATCAGGAATGGACAATCCATTTTAGAACGTGCCTGCTTTTAGAATGTTGTAAATACATTCTGCATGCCTGTTCCATGACCCAACTATTTTCAAACTTCACTGCTGTGCCCAACTAATCATTGACACCAAACAATTGGTGTTAAATACAGAGAATGAATCAGCTGTCAGAGCCTGCATTGACTCTTCAGTAAAAAGAAAAAAACACGTCCTTCTCACTGGAGTCTCTCTCCAATTTTTGATGTCAGCTGTGACACAGAGAGCAGCTCTCTCAGCTCACAGTCAAACATTTGTAGGTTCACTCCTCAGTAAAGAAACTTAAGCACACAACCAAAACTAACACTGTAGAATAGCATTGGTAGAGGTACCACCTTTAGTATAGGGCATTAAACTAAAGTCACTTGAATGAGACACTAATTGACCCCATTGTGCAAGCCAACATTTATCCCTCAAATGACAACCCTGAAACAGTTTATCTGATTATTATCTCAGTGATATTTGTGGAATGGTCCTGCATGCAAACTGGTCACTGTATTTATGGCATCACAGTAGTGACTACACTTAGACAGCGTTTTAATGGTTGTAAAACTGACAGATGTATGAGGAACTATATAAATCCAAGTCTTTCCCAATTCAGACCACAATTCCAACAATTACAGTCACATGTAAACTTTTGCACACTGATGCTACAGTTAAGCTGGTCAACACACATTAAAAGACACACGTTGATGGCACTCACTTGCTTCAGTGTAGACTTGACCGAAGCGATAGTAACACATTTTGTACATCATACAGTTCAGCAGGACAGGGGACCCCTCTCTGTCAACGCGGAACTCTCCTGTTGGGGTGTAGTAATCATGCTCTTTGATGTGTCTGCCTGTGTCAGTGCTTCCTCCAATTCTCACCATCCACAAGAACTTGTTTATATCTAAAGGAAAGAAAATGATAAATGGAACGTATGAAGTTTAAAACTAAAATGTCTGCTCAGTATCATTTAGGACCCTTTGAATTCCACTGCCGAAGAATGACAACACGGTTCCAGCAGTGGCAGGCAGCTGAGTGTTTGCAAACTGAGGGATGGACTTTGTGGTGACACAGTGTGGAGCTGGAGGAACACAGCAGGCCAGGCAGCATCAGAGGATCAGGAAAGTCAACGGTTTGGGTCAGGACCCTTCTTCAGAACGTTTTTCTGGCCTGCTGTGTTCCTCCAGCATCTGCAGTTCTTACTATGTCTGATGGACTTTGTGGCTTTGTTTTACTGGGTGGCGAGGATGGGGGATGATGACATTTCTCCTCTTTTTGGCTGTTTCTTCTATTTCTGCTTCAGTTTTTAATCCTATCTTTTGTATACTAAGATGGGGCTGAAGAATAGCAACTTTGTACTTTTCTCACTCTGTTCCTGTACTTGAGTACATGAGACAATAAACATTGAAATCTAGATTTAAAAAATGGAAATATAGAAATGATAAAAAAGTTCATTTGGAATCCACAGTTCATGAAATTCTGATGTCTTAACTTCTCTTGTCAAAGCCTGTATCAAATTGAAGAGCAGCATTTTAGTTTAAAGCAGGAGCATTTACGCTTCTCTTCCCTCTTGTTGCAGCACAATTCAGGGTTTAGGGAAATAGGACACTCCCTGGTTTGCCTTTCTAAGAGTGTGGAGCAAGTCTATAAAAATTACAATAAATTTGTGATTTTATTGTTTTGGGCTCATTTTAAATATTGGTAAAGAACCAAAAATCTTTTACTGTATGCATTCTGTTGATTAGCCCCTTTTATTTGTTACTCCTTCCCATAATACCATCAGGAACTACATCGTAACAAAGAGAAAACTCGACAAGCAATTGAAAAGGAAGAACGAGAAAAAGGAAGGGATTAGAATGAGAAGCTTGAGGTTTAGAGATAGCACAGGACTCAATGGGCAAAATGGCCTCCTTTTCTGCTCTTTGATTCCGTGTCTAATGCACCAAAGATTTTAATTTGTCAAAAACAATATAAAGTCAATCTTTGAGAACAAGACTGTCATACTACAGTCCAATATGAACAAGAGATTATTTCACTGCCGTCTGCAGCATTAAGCTATACAAGAACATAAAGATTGTCTAAAAACTGCTAATTCTTCAAAAGTTATTCAGTTACTTTAATACACATCGAGTCCCAATTTGAGACCTTCCAAGATAAGCTACCAAAACTTCCCCTCCTCATCTTTGCAGACCCCCCCCCACTTTACAGCTTTCACCTCCTCACGGACTGCAGCTCTTTTCTCTCCATTTCACGGCCTCGCTTATTCCTCAGCCCCCGCTATGCTTCCCGGACCCCTCCTCAGTCTCAATGCAGGGCCTTCCTCCGCCCAACACACGGACTCTCTGATCCTGTCCATGCTGACTGTTGTAACTCACCTTGCTCCTCCAAACACACTGTGGATCTCTCCCACATTTGCTGCTTATAGGTTTGTAGTGAGTACAGAAAATAACCAACCTGTGATTGGAAGAGCGGCTCCTCACCAGTCTTCCCTCTAAGCTGCATGGCTGTGCATGCATCCGCTCCATGGCTTCGCCTACAGCATGCCGATCACGGCACTGACTTCTGGTACTACAAGTTGCTGCTGCACAGAGAGACCTTGGAGGCCTACTCAGCTGGAATGAAAATTGGGGGGGGAGGTGGTGGAAAATGCTGCTCCTCACCATTCCTTACTTTAGATGGGGATGACATTTTTCTGATTTATTGCCCTGTGATGAGGTTTTACTGGATGATTTTAAAGTTTGAAGGCCAGATTCGCCCATGCCCCCCTGCATTATTTTCCGAAAGTTGTAAATCTTCAGAATTCTCTACTCAACAGAGCTGTGGAGTCTGCGTGATCGAATATATTCAAGGCTCAGTTAAACAGATTGGCTGTGAAATATCCTGTGTCTATTTCTCATGCTTTCAAAGTGTGGAGTGGGCACCTCTAAGTATTTATGCACCTCATGATGAAATGTATTAAATACAAAGACAGCTTACCATCAGAGGAATATCCTGTGAGACCTCCAAAAATGACCAATACGTAGCTGACGTCTAACTCCCTCATGATCTCATAAGCCTTCTCCTCTGGAGATGCCATTGCCTAGTAGTGGACAAATATACCCAATATTAGTTACATTTAGATGCAATATTGATAAGCTTCCCTGTCATTCTGCCTATCTTTGCTTGCTCACAATTCCATTCTGCACAGAATGAATACACACATCTTCTAATAACACAATAACATAACCTCAGACAAGATATCAGGTAAATGCTGTCAATCAACATTTACAGTTTTCTTTCACTGCAGAGATTTTATTAATTCAGGTCATCAGGCCTCCCGTTAGATTAATCTGTACTGAGGCACTTCCTCTGGAACCCTCTTTTTTTCCCTTCCCGTATCCCTTTTACATCTCCCCTTGCCTCACACCATCATTCCTTTTGTCTTTTAAACTTTTCCCTTACACCTTAGAGCTAACCTTTTTATCTGCTCCTCCCATCCTTATCTCCTCACCTGCTTCTGCACTTGCTCAATACCCATCATATCCCTCTTTCTTTTCCAGTTCTGATAAAAGATAGTTGACCTGAAACATTAACCTGGTTTACCTTTTTGCAGATGCTGCCTGAACTGCTGAGTATTTCCAGTATTTTTCTGCTTTAAGCATTCTAGTATCATAGGCCCAAGATGCCACAGCTCAGAAGCAGCAATTTCTTTTGAGTTATGAGCTCACTGTCATGGTTTATCTTCCAGCTTGGCACTCCAGTTTAAGTAGTGTGGGAGTGCTGCATTGTCAGAGGTGCTGAAACATTGAGTCATGCCTTCTTCTGTTCGTTCAGATTAACGCAAGAGCCCACAGTATTATTCGAAGAGGAGTAGGGGAGTTTCCTGCCATCTGTGCCGACATTTATTGCTTAGCCAGAACTAAAACAGGCAAATTCTTCATTTGTTAACACAGTGTGGAGCTGGAGGAACACAGCAGGCCAGGTAGCATCAGAGGAGCAGGAAAGTTGACATTTTGGGTCGGGTCCCTTCTTCAGAAGAATTGTCATTTCTGAAAGGTCCCTACCCGAAACGTCAACTTTCCTGCTCCTCTGATTCTACCTGGCCTGCTGTGTTCCTCCAGCTCCACAGTGTGTCATCTCTGACTCCAGCATCGGCAGTTCTTACTATCTCGGAGTGAAATTCTTCATTGCACGTTTTGTGTCTGCAGCAGATTTCTATGCATTTTGTTTGGCTGCTACGTTTTATACAACAATGACTACATTTCATTGAATATAATGAGCTCTGGGGAATCCTTGGATCACGCATGATGCGATGTAAATACAAGTGCTTTAATTTTGTATTGAAATTTGTAGGATGGAGGGGGAAAAAGCGAGAGCTTAAGTATAGGAAGTAGAGTGTACATTGTCAGGTTCCCGTCAGTGTGCAGGGGAATCCTCTGAAATGCCGGCAGTTATGTCCACTGTAATTGGATGCCAAACTAACAAACTGGAGAAAGTGGGATTAGGTTTGATGCTATTTCACATTTCCAGCTGATGCAATGCTTATTTTGAACGCCTGGGGGAGACCTATTACAGGTAGTTCTGCTATAATGCGTATTTTGTTAACGAGAATTGGTTGTAACATAATTGATGAATAGTGGACTCAGACAAAGTTGCTGGAAAAGCTCAGCAGGTCTGGCAACATCTGTGAAGGAAAAATGAGAGTTAAAGTTTCGGGTCCGGTGACCCTTCCTCAGAA